TAGGAGTAGGAGGAGGAGAAGGAGTAGGAGTAGGAGTAGGAGTAGGAGGAGGAGGAGGTTTAGGAGTAGGAGGAGGAGTAGGAGTAGGAGTAGGAGCAGTAGTAGTAGTAGTAGTAGTAGAAGTAGAAGTAGAAGTAGAAGTAGAAGTAGTCGTAGTCGTAGTCGTAGTCGTAGTCGTAGTCGTAGTCGTAGTCGTAGTAGTAGTAGTAGTAGTAGTAGTAGTCGTAGTAGTAGTAGTAGTAGTCATCGTCGTACTTGTTGTTGTTGTTGTTGTTGTTGTTGCTGTTGCTGTTGTTGTTGTTGCATTTGTAGTTGTAATGCGGTTGAACGTCCAAAAGTGGTCCGAACATGGTGTGCGTTTCACATTTTGACTTCGAAATGTGCTTCGCGCCACAATGCTGTGCATTTGTTCGACATCTGAACTTCCAAAAGTGCTCCCAGTTTTTTGGCATCCGAACTTCCAAAGGTGCTCCGAACTTGAAGTGCTTTGTACATGTTCACTTGGAAATGTGCTTCGTGCCAAAACGACGGCGTGCACTTTTTGAACCTCTCAACTTCCAAAAGTTGTCCGAACATGTTGTGCTTGTATGTGCTTGTAGCATTTTCACTTCGACATGTGCTTTGCACCACAACGGCGTGCAATTTTTCATCTCTCATCTCCCCGGATGGCTCCGCACCCGCCGCTTTAGCGAGCCTACTCTTCGACCCTCCGGAGCCACAAAACATTGGAAACACAATGCTTCGCGACTTTCTACCTTGTCGCGCCCCTGCATCTTCCTTCTTCTGACTCTTTCTCTTCTCTGATCTTCTTTCCTTTTCCGTTCTCTTCTCGGTCTCTTCCCACCTCTGCTTTTCATCTGTCCATAGTGTCGGAAGTTTGACTTCTAAACTTGCTTTGGTCATGAAGATATCATAGAATATCTACAGTCAATAAAAGAGCCTCAGTGGGTCTGCATCTCCCAAGTCTAATCGTTCACTAACGTCCCCCCCAGCTTCAGCCCATCCCCACCTGCAGCTCCTCAAAGACGTAGTGCAAAGAGATGCCCAACTGAAAGGATCGCGTCTTCACCTCCGCCTTCTGCGTTTCCAAGGCCCCCTGGGCCGCCAGATGCCAGACGCCGTACTCCCAGGCAGAGGTCTTGGTAGCATAGAGCTCGCACCAATCCTGCTGCTTCACCTTAAGGATTTGAGAGGCATCTACATCAAGAAAAATGAAAACTACTTAATTTTCTGGTGGATTGAAAAAATGTATTGCTTAACATCCCAGGGCAGATTCCAGCTTTTCTGATGGATTTGCAACCATGCAACATCATGAGAGAAAATCCAAGTCACCAACGTTTTGAGGCGTCTCTTGAAGCACTCCAGCCGGCATTTCCCAAAGATCGCCGCCACCAGCAGGGCCAAGAGAAGGAAGGCCAACAGGAAGAGGAAGAAGTACAGGGAAGTGCACCAATTTTCCACCCCCAAAACCTTGAATTTTCTGATCCCTTCGGCAGTTAAAAAAATGAGAAAATACATTTAACTTTTCTGGTGGGTTGGAGTGAATGGCTACCAAAAAATCATCAAGGCATCAAATTCAGGCCCGGATACCAATATTCTCCCCAACTATCCCTATGTTTTCCCCAAGTATCTCAATCTGTGTTTCATCTAAACTCTATCCCACATTCCTCACCGTTCTCCATGGAATAGTTAGCATCTCCATTTCTCTATGCCTCCAGGAAGCCATGGCTGGAAAGGTACACCTCCGGCACTCCTCATAGCCCTCCAAGGCATAGTGCTGCCCCGTGCACTTCACACAGTCAGTGCGAGGCGCGTCCGGCACCCAACCCAGTTCGCAAGGGGTACATTGCGCAGAACGGGGGGGTGCCACCTGCCAAGGCTCAAGTCTTTGTGGGATGGGTGTCCCAGGATATGGAGTGAATCCCGATTTTTATGTCATGTTGTTGCCATTTAGTGCCTTTTTTTTGCAGGGAAATTAACAATCAAGCAGGAGAGTTCGGCGTTTTCTCTGAAACCACGGCCACTGAACAAACTATAGTCATGTGCCAAAAAAGCGAACCCTGGATTTTTATCTCAAGCAATACGTGGTTATACCAAATGCAAGGTTTCAAAACCATTAAAAAATGCAATGTTCACGGAACATATGATGTCAAAATCTGGTGTCTCTTATTCTTAAACAAACCCATACATCAATATGTACTGTAAAATGTGATGTGCACGGCCCTTATATAAGGTGCTCACATCGGTAGAGGCAGCTTTGAATGGTAGCTGTACTCGCCTGTGTGGGTGGGCATACCAAGGTCTTCCATAGGTTATGACATTATGAGCCCAACGCAGGTTGATCCGGGATTGGGCCACTTGGGTGTGACAGGCTGTGGGGGGCAGGTGGCCCGTGACAGGGCGGTGCAAGGTGTAAAGTATGGCAGCTACAGCGGCATTGCAAGGTGGAGCCATCTTTCTTTGGGGAATCAGGTGAACAGCCGGTGCAGTGGCTCAAGCCGGGCAAACCAGCGAAGCAATGGGCAACTGTGCCATCATTTCCAAGGCAGCTGGTGCCAGGTCAGGTCAGCAGGCTGGGGGGAGTGTGAGAGGTGATGTGCACAGCCCTTAAGGTGCACGCGTCACATGGGTAGAGGTAGCTTTGAATGGTAGCTGTACTCGCCTATGTGGGTTGGCACATCAAGGTCGTCCATATGTACAAATAGTTTTTGTGCCTTGATTTTCCCTCTTGTACGAACATGTTGCGCATCGCAAACAAGATTGCCACCGTGCAGAAAGAAATGTTCCACTCGATATAGACCTGGTTCAACATGTTCAATTTGTTGTACCTTGCTGGTGTTTTCCAATGTCAGTCGCCATTGGTGCAAAGAAAGCCTCTTATTGGTACTTACCATAAGAACCCTCAAGAGACCCTTAGGGTAGACACACTGTTTGGGGAAACAAACAGGAATATGTATATATATATATGTATGTATATGTTCTTTGGATCCTTTGTTCATCACACCGACTACTCACTTGAGCTAAGGATAGGATAATCAGCTGAACAGCTGCCACCTGGCCATCATCACATCTCACACACTCGCTGCGGTCCGCGTTCGGGGACGTGCCCGCTGGACAGGGTGTGCAGTGCGAGGCCCCGAGGGCTGCGACGGAACCTGGCGCTGTGTCTGGTCAAGCCTTTGGGTTGGAATCCGGGAATGGCCCAGTCATTGGTTGACGTTGGCTTCCTATTGCTTCTAGTGATTTCCCCACATCATGTACCTTTTAGAGAGAGAACATTGATAGGGTTTGCCTCCCACATTTCATGGTCAAATAAATCATGGTTTTCTGCTTGGTTTTGCCTTCAACTGACCCGGTGACACATCCAATGCAATTCGTTGGCACCCTTTGGCAACCTAGCCAAACAAAGGGACAAGGCCTCCATGAATCCATCAAAGTATATGCTTTACCTTCAAAAGTAAGATGACTTGATTTCGGGGTTGACCTGTGTTCATACATAGACAGGCTGCGGCTAGGGGTTAAGAAAGAGCAATTGAAGGTTTGGAGAAACAAGGTCACGTGGTTGTATTTCGCCGCGGTTATATAATTCTCACAGGAGGGCGGAATCATTTCACTGCATAGTTGTGCTACTTTAATGTGCGACCGGTCGTTGCAAAGTATTTGTCTTAATGTGTCCTACTTTTCGCAAGCGTCTTGTTTTGGCTTAGCCACCCAGCTCCTTCTTGAAGCCTTCCCTTCTTTGCCACATGGTGTGTACAAGTGCAAATCAACCTTCCATATAGCGTGGTAGCAAATATGTGTGCAAGCGCAAATTGACGTTACCGCCCAACCCACTGGACGCCAGCTCACCCCTTCTAACAACCGTCGAACAATAGAATACTCGGAAAATGCTGCGACAACAGAACTTCTCCAGAAACAGAAACACAAAATGCTGATATTAATGAGGATGTCCCATTGCCAGGTTTGACTACCAGAAGTCACCTTGTAAGGCTGGAGCGGGTTAGCATTTGGAGATGCCTCCACTGATTTTGATCCTCTGACACACCCATGGGAGAAGGACCACTTGGGGATGCAGATCCAGCTAAAAGTGGATGACATAAACATAGGGGCTATATCCAAACTTATGGAGGTTCTCACCGTGGTTATACCCCGTTCGAACCCTAACTGCACCCCTAAGTCTCAATCTCACCAGTTGTTCCCAAAAGAACTCATCATCTGAGTTGACTTACCTCTCCAAAGCGAATTCACCACCAAGCCTGCGATCTTCAGTTATGATTCTATGGTTTGAAGCAGTCGCCTGTCCCAACCCGCAGGCGACCTGCAGGGCATTTCCCGCAACTGCTCAAGTTCGTTGGGAAGAGGCCCAGGGCACACTGCACGCAGCTGCTGCGATTGGCATTCGGAACCATGCCTTCTGGGCACAGGTCACACTCCTTCAGGGTTGAGATGCTTGGAGTTGAAAAGAGAAAAATGTCTCCCTTGCGACTGTCAGATCCACTCACTTGCGACTGTCACTCTCTTGAAAGGAGGCTTTGAATCGTTTGAGGCGGCATATCCTTTCTTTAATGACAGGGCTGATAAATTCGCCAGAATCCCTGTCATCAAATTTGGTCTTCACTGCTTGACAGCATTCATATCTGGGACCCGAAAATTCTAACAACACCTTTGGGGACACACAAAAGACATGTCGACGCGGGCCAAAATTTAGAAAAAAAAACATGCAAGGCATCTCTTGTTGGGTTTCCCAAAGCTTCTTTGCCTGGGACGCAAAAGTCACCTATGTCCAAACTTGCCCAATAGGCATCTTCCCAAGCCTTGTTTTGATCCATTCGTCCCACAAGTGGTTGAAGACAAGACTTGCAGGAAAACTATATATTCAGGGTTGAAAATATTGTTTTTCATGTTTGTTTCGATGAGACTATTGAAACCACTATCGATTTCCAAAATATCTCCGATCGGAACAGCATCTTCCGATGTTCATCCCCCCATCCGCATGGAAAAATCGTAGCATGACCCAGCCCTATCTTATGCAAAAGAAAAATACAATGGTCATTCAAACATGACATCCGCAATTCGGGCGAAATCCCCATATGTTTCTTTTGATTTGTTCGATAAATGGTTTAAAAATTATGGGAACAAGGGTATGTCCATGTAAATCCCGGTTCTGCCGCTTACTTTCCTTGATTGGCCAGTCACTAACTGTGTACATCCGAGCACACCAATTCATTGGTGAAATTCCAGTTTTGGATGTTTTAAATTGTTTTAATCTGAATATCTCACCGTTTTGGATGATTAAACCCGCATTTTCCAGTCCTTGTTGCCACTGGTACTCTTGTAACGCCCCAGCTGGCACGGGGCGCAGGCTTGCCAGTGCGGGTACTTCTCGGTGGCGTTGCTTACCTGGGACCGGGGCATGAAACCGGGACAGCCTGGAGCACGACATACCCAGAATGTAATTTTAAATACATGGATTCAAATATCGATATATATTATACATTACATTACATTGCATTACATTACATTACATTACATTACATTGCATTACATTACATCGCATTACATTACATTACATTACATATATATATAATATACATACATACATTCATACATACATTCATTGCATACATACATACATATTATACATATATATATAATAAAATATACATATATGTGTATATATATATTATACATATATATATATATTATATATATTGTTATACATATATATATATTATACATATATATATGTATAATATATAATACATATATATATACTATACATATATATATATATATATATTACATATATATATTATACATATATATATATTACATATATATATATATTATACATATAAATAAACATTATATATACATATATATATATATATATTATACTTTTTTACATACATATACTTTTTTACATATATATATATATATTATACATATATATATATTATACATATATATATATATATTATATATATATTATACAGATATATATATATATATTATACAGATATATATATATATTATACATACAGATATATATATATATGTATATTATACATATATATATATAAATACTTAGATATTATACATATATATGTATATATATATATTATACACACATATATTATACATATATATATATACTTGTAGTATATACACATGTATAATATAAATGTATATATATATATAATGTATATATATATATATGTATATAATATATAGTATGTAGTATATGCGTCTGGTTCTAAATGTAGTGTCAATGTACACACATATTCATGTCCACATATTTGCAATTACATGTCTAAGTCCAAACACAAATGCGTCAACGTTCCAAACGTCCATGTATACACAAAAATAAATCTACTTAGCTACAGAGATGTAAACATATGCACATATTCACAGATACACATTAAAAAAGGATACGTAGGCCGATAGACATCCGTACGCACAACTCAAAATACGCTAAGAGTCTACTGACATATATACAGGCGCAAATGTATCCCAATATCCATGACTACGCAAAACGTCAATCCTATTTGTAAATATCAATACGCCATGATCACGCAAACATGCGTTGCGTTGCATCGCATTATATTGCTTGCGTTACATTACATTACATTGCATTACATTAAATTGCATTGCAGCGCAGTACATTGCACAACACTACACTACATGACATTACATTAAATTCCGCTACAATACATTACATTGCACTATATCACATTTACATCTACATTACATTGCATTCGACTACATTCCATTCCATTCCGTTCCATTCCGTTCCATTCCATTCTACTGTGTACACAGCATTTCATCACCTATATACCTACCTACCTACCTACCTACCTACCTACCTACGTTACATTACACTACATTTTACTACATTACACTACATCACACTACATGACACTACATTACACTACACTACATTACATTACAATACAATCACAGTACATTACAATTACAATTGCACTTACCATTTACATAAACATCAACATTAACATTAACGTTAGACGTTACATTACATTATATAAAATACATTACATACAAACACACAAATGTGCAAACATAAAACATACATGAAGGCATTCAAACATACGTGATACACCTACATGGTTGCATTGCATTACATCACATTGCATTTAATTGCATTTACACCACGTTACATTGCAGTAGGTACATTGCCTTTCACTGCACTACACTGTAAGTGCGTTGCTTGGAGTCATGGCATTACCTGGCACTGCAACTACATTTGCAACCACACTTGCCTTTGCCATTGCTATTAAGGTTACGGTTGCAGCTACAGCTACATTTCATTACATGTACACTACACTACCCTACATTACATCACATGACATTGCACTACATGAGATTCAGTGCGGTAGTTGCATTCGTTGCATACTACATTGCACTCAAGTACAATTGCAGCTACCATTGAAATTACCATTCCCATTGCCATTGCTACTCAGGTTGCAGTTGCAGTTACATACAGTGCACATGCTAGAACATATTACAATCATTACATGACTCTGACGGCACAGTACATTGCATGACGCTACTGCAATAGAATACATTACATTACACAAATTAAATCGCACTACTGAGCTGCATTACAAATTAGATTACATTACACGTCTATCATACGTACCCATAATCATTTGCACACATGAACCTGCGCATGGACACATGTGAAAAAAAAGGACGTTATTTTTTTCATACACATGTACTTTTACCGAAAAAATGTTTATTTTGCGTATAAGTCAGACTAACTCATGTGTGCGCGCATGTTTTGGTGTATCGTGGGCACTCGACATATTCGGCGCATGAGCCCCAAATAATTTAAGGGAGAATACATGCTCGTACATTAGCTGAATCACACTTCAGAGTTTCCGTCTATAGAAGCCTGACGAGGAGGTACTTATACATATTCTAAATGGCAGCGCGGTGAAACAAGTTTGATTTGCGCAAAAAAACATATGAGCCACGGTCAAAATTTATACACATTAAAAGTGCTGGGTATGTGTACCATGCGCGCAGCGTTTGTGAAAACATATGTGAACCATGTGCGACTCATATGCGAAACAAATGTGAAACAAAAAGGTTGGATTGCGATATTTGTATGCCTTACATCCGTCTATGTTTGCCAATTTATTCCATTTTTGTCGGAGGAAAAATAAGACCATAGTTTACGCAAACTACAAAAAACGGACTGTACGTTCTAAAAAAAAACGAATCAGAAACATAAACAAAACGCACACGATAACGCAAACACATTTTGTTACGTATATGTTTGTATTTATGCGTTTTCGGTTTTTGAGTGACATGCATATTAAAATATATATATATATGTCAGATATATATATATATGTCAGATTTATATATATATATGTCAGATATATATATATATATATATATATGATACTAACACATACTAATACCTGTTTTACGCTATAAGAAATTATTTTGACCAGTAGTCAAAAAAAACGTAAACATTAACGTAAGAGATACAGCCGCTACGGGCAATTTCTATCCAGGTCGGGAATTTACGTTTTGTTTCCCTATATATGAAGCCGTTTATGTGTGCCATATGTGCAGTCCAAGACGCGCTCTATTGTGGAAGCAAGCCTTTGAAATAGTTCATTCCCCACCTGCCAGGTGAGGGTTGTTAGATTTTATCAGAGTTGTTCTCCTCCTCCTCCTCGGCTAGCTGTCCTCCTCCTCCTCGTCCTCCTCCTCCTCTAGTTTCTCCTCGACCATGTCTGCATCAACTTCCACCTCCACTTCCGCCTTGCCAACTCTTCGCCAAGCTCTTTGCCAACTCTCTTCGCCAAGCTCTTTGCCAACTTCCCAGCTCAGTGTGCACTGGGACCTCAACCTGGGACCTGCCCAGCTCAGTGTGCACCGCTGGACCTCAACCGGGACCTTCCCAGCTCAGTGTGCACCGCTGCACCTCAACCTGGGACCTTCCCAGCTCAGTGTGCACCGCTGGACCTCAACCAGGGACCGTCTCAGCTCAGTGTGCACCGCTGGACCTCAACCTGGGACCTGCCCAGCCCAGTGTGCACCGCTGGACCTCAACCTGGGATCTGCCCAGCTCAGTGTGCACCGCTGGACCTCAACCGGGGACCTTCCCAGCTCAGTGTGCACTGCTGGACCTCAACCTGGGACCTGCGAAGATATGCCAGAAGATATGCCAGATAGAATGCCAGAAGATATGCCAGAAGATATGTCAGATAGAATGCCAGAAGATATGCCAGATAGAATGCCAGAAGATTTGCCAGATAGAATGCCAGAGATATGTCAGAATATATGCCAGAACATATGCCAGAAGATATGCCAGATAGAATGCCAGAAGATATGTCAGAATATATGCCAGAAGATATGCCAGATAGAATGCCAGAAGATATGCCAGAATATATGCCAGAAGATATGCCAGATAGAATGCCAGAAGATATGTCAGAATATATGCCAGAAGATATGCCAGATAGAATGCCAGAAGATATGTCAGATAGAATGCCAGAAGATATGCCAGATAGAATGCCAGAAGATTTGCCAGAAGATATGCCAGAACATCTGCCAGAAGATATTCCAGATAGAATGCCAGAAGATATGTCAGATAGAATGCCAGAAGATATGCCAGATAGAATGCCAGAAGATTTGCCAGATAGAATGCCAGAAGATATGCCAGAAGATATGCCAGATAGAATGCCAGATAGAATGCCAGAAGATATGTCAGATAGGATGCCAGAAGATTTGCCAGAAGATTTGCCAGTAAGAAAATGTATAAATGTCATGGTGGGGATCACACGAAGTAAAGTAATTTTCAGGACAAACTCACATGTAAACAAGCGAGTAGTACTCCATATCTGCCCGCATCGTCCCATCTCTCACCCCCGCCCCGGCATGCCCCGGCTACCTCAGCGTTTCGGTGGAGGCGGTGCCCTGGTGGACATTCGCCAAGCTCGCAGGCCGCGCCAGTGAAGGGTTCCTCAGGGCGACGATTGGATTTTGTGCTGTTTGGATTTGGAACAGAAACGCTATATAATGCCGCAATAATAAGATGTTGTTTGAAAAGAAAAAAACATAATTTCAAGAGTTGTGGAAAAGAATGGAAAAAAAAACTTCAAGATTCCTGAAAAGTTTGGAATGTTGCGTGCATATTGTGGAGATGCCATATCAAGGACCGACAATCGATATCAATGTCAGTCATGTGGAAAATATACATTGACATGGACGTGCACCACGGCCAGCGATGGCTAAAAAGTTCAGCCCCCCTTGCAATACTTGGGCATGTTCCAGGTACACCAACTGCACATCCAAGCAAACACTGTTTGTGCATACTAATACTATACCGCAGATGATGTAATTTCTTGGAGCAGTCACGCCAATGCAGTACCAGGAGGAAGGACTGGCAAGGTCAGCACAAGGACTTGGTAGACGGAGGTGGCCAAAGCAAATCCAAAGTTCTAAGAGGGCACGATCCATCAGGGCGACAAGGAGGCTTCTGTTTTGGTGTGGCGACACCGCACTGTTGATAGGCTGGCATGGGCCCAAGCTCTGACGCCGTGGCCCTCTCCTCCATGTATTTTTTCCTTGGCATCCGCCCTTCTTTGCCCTGCTATTTTGATGTGGCAACCACACCACGCTTTTGCTAGCCGCATGGGCCCCAGTCCTTCTTTCATCGAGGGTTCAAATGCTCGTTCATTGGGATTCAGCTGTGACGCCGTGGCCTCTCCGTAGTCTGGTACAGGCGTGAATTCTTCTTTTATTGGGGTTCAGCTGTGACGCCGTAACCCTCGCTTTGACGCCCTCTCCTCCATCCGTTGTTCCCTTGGCATCCGTCCTCCTTCCCTGCCCTTCTGTTTTTGTGTGGCGACACCGTTTTTGTAGTCTGACATATGCACACCCAGAGGAAGAACCAATCATCCTTTGGTTAATTTGCGTGCCTGTTGGTTGGCTTGGATGTGGTGGCCCAATCCAATACATTGCTACATATTGCTACCAATTAATACCCTACCGTCGATCCCCTTAAAAGAGGGCGATCGCCCATTTGTCAATTTTGCCGTTTGTTTTCCATTGACCAGCCATTTCCGGACCCCTTCCCTTCCGTCGTGGTACGTTGCAGGTGCACTGCCCAGAGCCCGTGGCCCCGGCGTGGCCAAAGCCCGAGACATTCTTCGCAGCCTGGCGCTGGCGCGCGTCGACGTCGTCGTCGCAGATGCCCCGATGGGTGCAAGTGCCTGGGAGCCGAAGCACCAAAGCATGGCAGGACTGGTGATGTCTGGGGAAAATTGTTTCAATTCGACGTCTCCCCACCAAAAAGGGTTTGACATGTACTGACACAAGCTCACATACTGCTTCTTCTATTTTGACATATATCCTGACAATTCCTGACAGGCGCAACAAGAATACATCTGATACTTTTCGACGCTTTGCTTGCAGTAGATTCTGACATGGTCTGTGCCGGTGCAAATTATTCTGGCATTCTATTCGAGATATGTCAAACATTTCATGCGATGTTCATACAAGTGGTTAAGGGATCACTTAGAGCACCGGAAAGTGGATCACTTAGAGCAGCATGGGATCACTTAGAGCACCAGAGAATCATACCTTTGGGGTAACACTTGGGGACACGGGGCTGGGACATGGAGTCAGGCACAGCAACCTCATCATCTTTCTTGCCGTCCTGCAGACACACGCACTGCACTGCTCTTTCATGATCAGTTACCGCTGGGGTGGGGTAGGGTAATACCGTTCATGTTCCTGTGCACACACAGGCAAGACGTTCCTGCTACGTCGTAACATCTTCGTCAAGTGACTTGCAAGACGTTCCTGATACGTTGTAACATCTTCGAGAAGAGCCCTTCTGAACGACCACGGGCTCCACGGGCTCCACGGGCTCCACGGGCTCCACGGGCTCCACGGGCTCCACGGGCTCCACGGGCTCCACGGGCTCCACTGGCTCTACGGGCTCTACGGGCTCTACGGTTACAGAAGAATGGAAAGATTCGTTTCACAACAGAAAGTGAAACTCTCTAGATCTGAGTGGTACGGATCTGGAACGGGTATGGAACAGGGATTGGAACGAAACGATCCACTCCAGCACCTACGTTGTAACGTCTTCTGTAAGTAAGTTGCAAAACGTTCCTGATACGTTGCAACATCTTCTTCAAGTAACTTGCCAGATGTTCCTGATACGTGGTAACATCTTCTGTGCGTGACTTGCAAGACGTTCCTGATATTTGTAAACTCTTCTTCAAATAACTTGCCAGATGTTCCTGCTACGATCAAACATCTTCATCAAGTCACTTGCAAGACGTTCCTGCTAAATTGCAACATCTTCTTCAAGTAACATCCAAGACGTTCCTGATACGTTCAAACATCTTCATCAAGTCAACGTTGCAACATGACTTGCAAGACGTTCCTGCTAAATTGCAACATCTTCTTCAAGTAACGTGCCAGATGTTCCTGATACGTTGTAAACTCTTCTTATGCGTCTATATGGCTCTGCGCATATATGGAACTCCAACGCTATGTATCTCTTATGTCACTTTTCGGCGCTCCAAGCGGTCCACTTTTCGGTGCTCTAAGCGATCCACTTCTCGGTGCTCTAAGCGATCCACTTTTGGGTGCTCCAAGCGAGCCCCCGACCCTACCTGACGCACATCAACGGGCATATTTTCCGACATTTTATTTATTGACTGACATATATTCTCACATAATATTCTGACATGTGCCCTGCGTATCTTCTGACATGTCTTCATGCACATATGTCTGCGATATGTTCGGACATTGTCGCTGGGATCTGACCTGACGTAATTCATTGTATGCAATACATTCTGTTATTGTGATCGGCAGCGTATTCTGACATTCTCTGCGGCTTATTTGCCATTCTGACCTTTGAGGGCGATACCTTCTGACATCTTCTAACGCATACATAATCAAAGATGTTTCTGACATAGAATCTGCGACATATTCAGGCATCTTGTCTAATATGCGACTTGCAATCTATTCCGACGAATTATCTCCGGTATATGCTGCCATTTTCTTTGCTTTATGTTCTCTGACTATTCTGGCAAAATGAAATCTGGCATCATACATTCTAGCATGCTACCAGCGATATCTTCTGATATTATACATACTCAATGGCAAGTTTGTCCACCATACTATCTGACATAGATTCCGGATTTTTTCACTTTACCTGCAATGCATTCTGACATGTTACATGCGCTCACATGCTTTCTGACAGATTGTCGGGCATTTTGTCTAAAATATATTCCCGGCAAAAAATGACAGTTGATTAGATTTACGTTGTATTCTAGCATTTGATCTGACATATCCTCAGACATGTCAGACATGTATTGCAAGATTACAGCAGATTTGAAGTCCAGCCTGCCATGGCCTCAAAATCTGGAGACCAAGTCTTTGAAATCGTCTCAATACATCTATCTCAGTTTACAAATGGAAACGAGCAAACCTGATTCCCTATTTCCAGTAATATGATTTATAGATGATGATGTTCCTCATTGTTCCTCTATGTGATGATGTCCTGTACCGATGTGAGATTCGTGATTTTGATTGTGATTTTCATTGCCAGAGGAGACCATGATGAATCCTAATTTCAATCAGCAGCGACCAAGGGAATGACTTGCATTCAGATTTGGACGCAAGAATCTCAGCCGACGTTGCGCTGAAAAGTAATTTTATCAACCATGGTTTTTCCTTTTTGTCCGACTGCTTGTTTACTTCTTCCATGCAAAGGTCATAGGGGTCGTCACCAGGGTTTCAGACAAAGTGTAAAACAAAAATGCCCCTCCCGAGTGGCTGCAATGGGTTCATCTAGTACGGCATCATAGAATCATAAGGATACTAAAGTCATCTAAAGTCATGCTTCATACTGAACCATCCAGGTTTGGGGGCCAAGAGTTTTGAGCCCTTGTCTCGATGGAAGCCCATCTTTAAGCCATTGTCTCACATCATTTTACCTTAACTTTTTGGTGCCATGGCACCTGAAGCGCTTCCAAAGCCCGGACAGCTGTGGCACCTGGCATCCTGCCGCGTGTGGTAGTCAGTGCAGATGCGACACTCGGAGCTGTTTGAACCGGTGGGGCATTCCTGGATGGTGGTGAATGGGCGGATCAGAAAAACCCTACCCTACTCCCAGAAAAACCCTACTCCAGGGGCCCAATGAAGGTCTGGGAAAGGTTCCTTAGAAAAAGATGAGTGCACCACACCAAGCAGTTGCGCATAGGCTAAAAATTGAACTTCTGATTTTGGGTGACTGAATGTAGCATGTGGCACTCTAAGCCACTCTTTAAGCCACTCAGCCCAGATTCACATCGACCTGTCTTCGTGTTGCAGCCAGCAAATTGGTTGCAGGCGCTCTTAGCAAAGCATATGCCCTGCGAGAAGTATTGCAGCCTCGTGTTTGCTGATGCAACCATATCTACCATCCCATCGCCGTTCCAATCAGCAAACTGGACCTTCACCCCCCCATGTTTTCCGGTGGCATCCTGGCGGTCGCTGAGTCGCTGAGTCGCTGGCCATCACCAAGTGTTTTGCTGTTCAAAAACAACAAAAACAACTCATCTGAAACATTTTGAAAGCACGAAAACCATCGAAAACCGGCCTCTCTAGTAATGGATATATCGGCAAAGGGATCCTCTGCTGCCAACTGGAAGCTCCCATTCTGCTGCCGATAGTACAGGAACAAAGCTTTAGTGTCATAGACCAGGATCAAATCCAGATCGCCATCTTGGTCGATATCAGCCACATGAGGGCAAAAAGGACCCAAACCTTTTGTGTCAGGCAAGGCTGCCAAATCCACGCTCCGAAAAGGGTTGTCTTTTCCATCACGTCGATGAAATTTTCCACCACTCCGATTAGAGCTGGAGTTCGACTCCTGGAGCGACCACATTGGAGATACCAGGCCCGTCACATTGCTCCAGGGATAAAGATTCAAAACCACGAAAAACAGCTTCAATGACC